TAATTGCAATTATGAATGAATTTTTAAATTAGATGGACATCAATTTCATTCATTTGAAACCCAGGTGAAAATATAATTTTATAAAACATTACCCATTAAAGTGACAAAAACATACCATGTCACAATGGCACTTGTAAAAACGTTTTCATTCCAATCAAGCAGATTTCTCAATTTTACTTAATATCCAATAACTAACCAATACGAAGAAAAATATCAAATGTAAATTACTTCCACACACAGGCGGCGTTGATAATTGTTCAAGTAAAATGTATAGTATAGTATGATAGCAGTCTACTCTTTGATCAAGAAACACATATTTAATGTATTGAAACTTGGCATTTGGCACTTATTACCCTGACGCCCATTCGTATGGAGTTTCCAGGTCTTGGAGATATATTTTCTTGAGTATTCCTACTTTTTTCACTTAAACACCGTTTCCACTGCCTTTGCTGTTTGACATCAGCGACCTGATAGTGTAATAGCATACGAAATTAAGAGTAATGTAAGCAGTATCAAATTAGTTTACGCTAGACCACAAGTAAGTCACATAAAGCTAAACATTATGTTCACACATTTCAAGTGATGTTACAGTTGTGTGACCGCACAACGCACCAAAAACACCGTGCGCACACCGTGCATACATCGTTCACACACCCTCCGCACATCGTCCACACATGGTGCGCACAACTGTGCGATTTAACAATCGTTCGCCCACTTGTGCGCTTCTCTCCGCAAAACTGTGCGATTCGGTACAATTTGTTGATCAATATTACGGAATGAAAAAAATACGGAAGGCTCGTATTCAATAATGTACACTGTATCTATATTACTGTAATTCTCTCATCTCTATAATTAAGATTATGTACAATTTTACAATGCGTGTAACACAGTATACAGTGACCGTTAGACTGTCAAGAATTGGTTTGGCTCCTCGGTAACAGAACAGGTAAATAACAATTTGATGAGTGACCGGAGTTTTACCTAGCATTTGTCTGACACATAGAGCTGATATGTGATACCGTATGACTGTTATGAAAACACAACTGGACGATTAATATTTGTTATTTGCATTCGCATTGGTCTATAGCTCCCCTTCACCTGGTTTTCACACATTGACGAGTTACGTAAGTGCCCTGGGCGGGGAAAAACTACGGTCCATGTACAAAGTGGCTATGTTTACATGTGTTGCCGAGACTGTGTTAGAATTTTACATGTGTCGATTAAGGTCCTTTAAAAACACCGAAATCACCATTTCTAAATTTAAGAAAGTATTGACAGAAAGATAAACTTATAGATGTAGCTTGAATAAAGAAACATACTAAAAAATCAAGTTTATATTTTAAACACGAAACCGTATTTATTGTTAAGCCATTCCTCAATTTACACCAACCGCGATGGTTATCGCACAATGTTCGTCGATCGTCCGCACAAATGTGCGCAAGCAATGATCGTCCAATTTTTTATCGTTCGCACTGCGTGCACACATCATTCACACACCATGCACACATCGTGCGCACACCGCACATCGTGTAACGTTGTGCGATCCCAAAACTGTACCTACACAAATATTAGATTATTGTTTTAAAATAGAAGATTTACAAGTTCGTTATCTCAATGTTGTACGTATGTTACTTCATGAAATACAGGGCAGAATCATATATTGTTACGAGAGTTCAGGAAGGAATTTGCCAATTTCACTTCATATTTACCTCAATGGTGGTTGCTGCACTGTCGGTTGAACTGTTTAAGTTGTTTGTTCTATCACTGACTGTCCACACCCTTTCATTGACATGACTCGGTCTATACCTCGGTAAGCTCCTAGACCGACGAAGGCTGAGAGACTTTTTATTGACGGCATCTTCACTGTCCACCTCGAATTGCAGAATTCCGATGTCTGCACTCTTGGGACTTGATGAGCTATCACTGTTTGGTGTCGTGTCAGTGCTGCTGGATGCAGTAGGAAGCGTGTATTTAATTCCTTCGTCGTGCATGATGTGACACAGCTGTTTGAATTTGTCGTAGCCATGAACCCGTAAAGGAAACGACTTTTTAATTTCTTTGTTTTGTACTGAAAACACAATGAAGAATGAAGAAGACAACTACAATATGGAAATCATACATTTTAGGTGTTTTATGTAATTGCTTGTTATTGAAGTGCAGGGTTACCAAGGTGGTTCTGCAATGTCGACCATGCATTTAGCTATTAAAACACTTAAATAAGAAAGGTAGATTTATCATCCATTCTCTAGTTCTGAACATCTCTATCACAATGATTTTTATTCTTACCTCTTCGACGTTTTGAACTGCTTTTTTAAACAAGGTGACACGCCCTTCGTGCTTTTCGTTCTGGTTATCTACTATCTGTGTTCCGATGGCTTTGATAACACTTTCTGTGTGTAAGCCGGTTTGTGTCACAATGTCTGTTATCTGGTCTAGCTGTTTTCTTCGGTCGTCTTCATCATCCTTTCGCCATCCCTGTATCATTACCTTAAATTGGTCTATTTTCTCATCTGGAAGTCGTAAAGACTTGAGTCTCTCGCTTTCCCGTCGAACACTTGGACTTTTTAATAATCGTTCAAATGCCCCCGTTAAACACTCCCAATAGGTATCGAAATTATCATCACTTATTTCAGCAACCGGCTGGTGGACAAGAATATTTCTGCATATCTTAATCCGTAACATATCATCGGCTTCCGTTATAACACTTTCCAACGGAAGTTTATCAAAGTCAGATGTTGGCCTAAAACCCATTCCTTCGAACAATATGAAGCACAGTGCGGTGATGTCCAGGTCGTGTATATTCGTGTCGTTGCTCTCAGGATACAGTTTGGTAAACTGGATTCTGCTTAGCAGCTTTGTTTTACAATTTTTTCTCCGCAATTGTTTTTCTCTAGATTGCAAATATTTATGAAATACAAGACCTTCCAGTATACATTGAATTGAATTTCGTAATTTTGAAATGTCTTGTTCGTTCGGGGGTAAATCAAACGCTAACAAGCCTATGTCTGG